ATATATATAATATATTATTATATAAATAATATATGTAATATATTGTTATATAAAAAGTTATATAATTTTTTTTTCGAGCCGAACACGAGCGAACAAACTGTTGGTCGTGTTCGGCTCGTTTACATTTCAAGCTTAAAAATTTGTTCGTGTTCGGCTCGTTAGGCTTAATGAACGAGTCAAACACGAGCTGTTTAATGAACAAAACACAAGCTGTTCGGCAACAACGAGCCAAATTGACAGCCCTACTCTTATGGGGCATTTACATATATACCACTTAATTCTTATGTATTTACTATCTTACACCTGGAGTATACTTTTTTTTTACATTTATACCGCCCAAATGATTCATATTACATAAAAAATTCCACCTTTTAACGTTTTGAAAGTGAAATGCTACTTTTTTATGCATAGGCAAGGCGGTATGTATGTATGTATGTATGTAAAAATTAAAAATTAAATGTTAGATATCTAAATACATATAGGAATTTAGTGGCATGTATGTAAATCTTTCAAAATTAATTTGAATGGAATGCTAATTGAAGTCAAGCCAACTTGTGAGTCTGCTTGGACTCTTTGAACAAACCTCTGTTAATGTACTTAAAAATTAGTAAGGTTTATTGGCTTACTAAAATTCTCCTAAATAAAGAGGCAGCTAATCAAATTTGCCACATTGTAAATCATTTGATATTAAAAGCCCCAATGAAAGGAAAAAATATTACATCAGAAGTCTTGATGCAGTTTCGTGTGCGAATGATAATATTTAGGTATCATTTTATCAAAATAACACCACAATACTATTAATAATATCTCCAATAACACCATCCGCACCTAATCTGAATGTAAGTCATCTGGCTGGTTGTAACATTTTTTCTAAGGAAAGAGCCAGCTAAATTTTATTATTATTATTATTTGTAAAAGAAGCTATACCTTATTTTATTAAATGTATCATAAAACTCATATTGCCAAAAATAAATAAATAAATAAATAATAATTTATTCAAAAATCCTGATCGATTTATAGTGGCTCGACATGTTCCTCAAAACATGTAAAATAGTCATGGAATAAATATTTAAATTTCGGAATAAATATATGCATCAAAACAATAATATCATTTAAATGTATCATTAAAAAATTATGAAAATACATTATAATTCTATTAGAATTTGGCATGGGGCTGTTTATTAATGTTCTCAAATAAACTTATTTATTATACAATAATTTGATAAATATTCTACATTTATATATGATGCATTATTTAAATAAAATCTGAATAAATAAATATTTATAATTACTAAAAATATATTATATTTTAACTTTAATGTACATATAAATTTAATATAATTTATTTTTAGCTTTTTTAATAAACTAATATATTAATACTTATTTATTATTTTATTTATTTTATATAAACAACTTAGATATTAATTTAAAATTTCAATTGCATATTTATTTATATTCATTTATAAAGTATTTCGTTAAATTTTTAATTTGTTTATAAATTTTATATGAAAAATCAAACACAGATCAAAATTTTAATTTTATATAAAGCTAATGTTTTTCAAAATTTTCTAATTATTTCAAATAATATAAGACAAATCAAATACAAATCAAGTATGATCATTAAAAATTTATACGAGTCAAATATGAACAGACATGCAGAAGCTCGGCTCAAGCTCAAATTGAACATGAATAATTTATGATTCTACCAAATACATTTTAATTCCTGACATGCTCGACTCTACTGGCCACGATTACAATAGTAGCCCTAATAATAATTCATGAAAGGCTAGGAGATGTAGGGGAAAAAGGATGAATATTTATATAATACAAACATTTCAATTTATTAAAAAAATCATAAAAAGGCTAAACTTGATGTTTCAACAGGCCTTTTATTTTGAAATAATACTCGCATGCAATACCTTATAAATATCAGAACGATGCAGCATACAAACACATATAAACATGAACTTCTAAATGTAGGATGCGCACACTTGAGAGCACAAAATACTCTCTTTTGACCATATATATATATATATATATCATCTACCACCAGATAATTCAATAGCATCCAAGTTATTGATGGAATCATCACCCCAATCAAATCTCCGCTGAAGCCTTTCATATTCCTGCCTTCTAGTGACCTCAACCTGTTGCCATTCCTCCCATCTTTCTGCCAACCCCTCCCCTTCGAGCATCCGCACCACCTCAGACATCGTCGGCCGATCTTCCGGCGTCGCTTGGGTGCATAGAAGAGCTACTTGGATCATCTTTTCGACCTCCTCAGCATTGTAGTTCTTGTTTAGGTTTCGATCGATGATCGAATCGAGCCGCTTCTCTCTCACCAGCTTCTTCACCTGTTCATGAGAGAGTCTTCTTCAACAAAAGCCTAATTTTTATGGGGCATTCACATACATGCCACACAATCTTATGTATTTACATATGTAATGCTTAAAATTCAATTTTTACATGTAAACCGCCTTACCCACGCATGAAAAGTTGTATTTCACTTTTTTTTTAAAACTAGAGCAATCAAAATAACACAAAACTTCACATCAAATAATTAATTAAAGCACTTAATGCATCAAAAACTCACAATACAAGAACTTACATGGTCGAGGAGTAAGACATCATCTTCTTCCTCCAACCGTGAAAAATCAATGGCGCGCTGTCCCGTCACGAGCTCAAGAAGCATAATTCCATAGCCGAAAACATCCGTTCGCTCCGATGATTTCCCTGTCGACAGATACTCGGGTGCTATGTGACCCATCGTTCCGCGCACCTGAGTCGTCACCGAGGTCTTCCTCACATCAACCAATTTAGCGAGACCGAAATCCCCAACTACTGCTTCAAAGTCTTCATCAAGTAACACATTAGCAGCTTTTACATCCCTATGAATGATTTTGGGATTACAGTGCTCGTGAAGATATTCCAGCCCACGAGCTGTGCCTAAAGCTACTCTTTTTCTGGTAGGCCAATCTAATACTGGCTCTGAAGCTTTAAAATCTGCGTTGGAATTGGTAAATATCTGTTAAATTGTGTAAAAGATGGAATTATAATTGGAATATGGCCTATGAAAATTGAAAAATTTACATACATACCACTGAATTCTTATGTATTTATATATATAATATACAAGAACAGGTGTATTTTCCTTTTTAAAAGATATATTAGTGATGTTATTTATGTAAGAAAGGTAATAAACAAAGTTTAGGTGCTATTTATGTAAATACATAAGAATTGGGTGGTATGTATGTGAATGCCTCCTAAGAAAATTTGCATACATACCACACAATTCCTATGTATTTACATATGTAACACCTAAAGTTTGATACTTGGGTCTTGGGTCATCACACTTTGGTGTCATAAACCTATGTATGAAAATGTGTATTGCACTTTTGAAAAGTTGATAATAGTGATATTTTTTTGTGATATTAAAGATTTTTGAAAACTAAGTGATATTCACAATCTGCCACGCAACAACAACAACAATAAAACTTTTATTCCACTTAAGCGGGGTTTGGCTACATGAATCCTATTTCTCCATCAAGTCTTATTTAGTGTCATATTTTCATTTAATTTTAATAAATTAAGATCATTTTTTATACAGTGCCCAGGTCTTCCTAGATCTACCTGTCTTTCTTAACATAAGTCAAATCTAAAACATCTACTCTTCTAATCGGATCATCAGATGGTCGACGTTTAATGTAATTAAACCATCTAAGACAACTCTCTCTAATTTTGTATGTCACTGGAGCTGCACCAACCCTATCACCCCTATCACGGATATATTTATTCATTTCACATTTTGTCACTAAGTGTAAAGCCACTCGTCCATCTCTAATCATTCTCATCTCCGCAACACAATCTGCCAAGCGAACAAACTAATAAAAAAAAAAGTTGGGAACAAAAGGCGAAAAGATTCATCTGCATCAGGAGATTATGATAAAGAAAATTTCAAATGATTATGTGAAAAATCAACGCATTAAACCACAGGAATGATGTGCAGAAATGAAGAAAATAAAATATTACCTCGTAAGCGGTATGCAACACTCAAATTTTGCATAAAAGGATACACCAGAAGCCGCTCCGTCGGTGTGGTGCAGAAACCAATCAACTTTAAAAGATTTTTATGAACAGCAACACTGATCAACTCGACTTCACGTAAAAACGCCGCTTCTCCCCCTGGACTCTCATAATCAGTCAATCGCTTCACTGCAATCTTAGTACTATCATTAAGCACTCCTTTATAAACTTTGCCAAAACCCCCCTGGCCAAGAATATTTTTATCGCTGAAACTATCCGTTGCAATTTGCAGTTCACGCCAAGCAAATCTTTTAAGTTGCCCGAACGCAATTCTTCGATCATCTTCACCTGGATAGCGGTTTTTGGAGCGGTAAGATTAAAGAATGGAGAAGTTTATCTCTGCAATTTTCATAACTTTTCAAAAGTCCACTTGAAAGAGACTAATGGTGCAGAAATGGAAAATGTGAAGATACAACATTCATCACATCATGCTTTAAGAATATCACCATTACAGGCATTTTAGAGGGCTGAAAAAAGAAAGGGGCATTTACATTCATAGGGCACAATTTTTATGTATTTACATATCCCACACCTAAACTTTGATTTTATATGCATAATTACATGGCACTCAAAGCTTTAACATCACATAAAAAATAGCACTATTACCACTTTTCAAAAGTTAATTACACCTTTCCATGCATAGGTTTAAAGCAGTGAAGTGCTATATATGTAAATATGAAAGTTGAGTTCTGAGATATGTAAATACATGAGAATTGTGTACTACGTATGCAAATTTCCCAAGAAGGAGAAAAAAAAAAAACAGACCTGTAACATCAACAAAGACTTCAGGTTGATAACCTTGGTTCTTCCTCTTACAAAGTAGAAAGAAAACCACTGCGATAATGAGCATTACTGCGCCTCCAATGCTTCCAAGAACTACTCCAACATTTGAACCATGATATTTTCCTGCCAATGCTCAAGGCAAGGACAGTAAGGTCATGTTGCAGGGCTCCACACCCACGCATATAGCGTCATGTGCCAAAATAATCCGCTGACTATTTACATGGTTTAATTTAATCCCAAAGTATATAAAAATGACAAATTAGCCCCAAGACACTTAATATAGACTGAAATGGTTCCCAGGGTGGACGACTTTTATAGACTCTAGGACTAAAATGTAAGTCTAAAAAGAGTTGGGGATCATTTTGACACTTTTATTCGGATGAAAATTTCCAATTAAATAATAGAGAAAAATGTCTCCATTTCGGTGCTTTAAGCGACGGTGATTTACCATTAACGGTAATGTTGGATGCACAAGGTATAGAGAAGCTTCCGCCACAATTTAGACTGTTTCCTGTAAAGCTGTGCCAATAAAAATCTCAGATAAAATCTTATTCATAAGGAAATTTTGCATTGTTTACCAAAGAGGTGCATAATGCTTCAAAAGAGTAATAAAAGGTCCTCGTCCTGAAAATAATATTAAAGCAAAGCATATTTACTTACTCGTATCTAACTACTTGAAAGAGTTTTGCAGGTATCCGCCCACTGAGATGATTGGATGCTAGCTGACTGCAAAAAAAAAAATAAATAAATAAAAAAATCTATTATTAAATGAAAAGAAATGAGAAATTTGCAAACACACCACTCAATTCTTATGTATTTACATATGTAACACCTAAAGTTTGGTATTTACTACTGTAACACTTCGGTGTCACAAAAAATAAACAAATAAAATAAAAAATCTATTATTAAATGAAAAAGAAATGAGAAATTTACAAACATACCACTCAAATCTTATGTATTTACATACGAAATCTATTATTAAATGAAAAGAAATGAGAAATTTACAAACATAGCACTCAAAACATACCACTCAAATCTTATGTATTTACATACGTAACACCTAAAGTTTGGTATTTACTACTGAAACACTTCGGTGTCACAAAATTATGCATAAAAAAAAATGAATTTTGCTTTTAAAAAGTTAGCAATAAGGGTAATTTTTTGATACGATGTTAAGGATTTGCATGTTATGCATGTGAATATGAAAATTTAGGCATTAGATATGTAAATACATAAGAATCCTGTGGTATGTATGCAAATGCCCCAAAAGAAATACATTCCACCATCGCACATCTAAATAAAAGCAAAAAAGAAAACAAAAATGCAAGAATTAATACAGCAATTTAAAGTGATGTTAAATCTTACATTTCATTTAGACTTGAAAGGTTAGAAAGTGACTCAGGAATATCACCAGTGAGATTATTGTCGCTCAAAATCCTGGTTATGCCATCAACAAACAAAGCATTGTTTAGTAGATGAAAGGTAAATAATAAAATCATCATTAACAAGTTTAAATGGAAAAAAAAAACAATCTTACAATATTTGAAGCTTAGAAAGCTTGCCAAGAGAAGCTGGAATATTTCCAGATAGAAGATTTTTTTCCAAAATCAAACTGGTCAGGCTAGAAAGATTTCCAAATTGTTCAGGAATTTGACCAGTAATATTGTTACCCGGTAAAGACCTGAAAGAGTAGATAAATCAAATTGTAATACTTAAATAAGAAAACTTTTAAGAATGGAGAAGGAAATTAAATAGGTTAAGTTACTGATATCAAGTCTAAAATTTGTTTACTTAAGGACGCTAGAGATCAAAAAGAAATTCAGAATAAAGTTGTGTATTAAAATAGGGCATCCAGTTAAAAAAACATGGGGCATTTACCTACATAGCACTCACTTCTTATATATTTACATATCCCACACCTAAACTTTCATAATAACACACATAGCACTCAAATCTTTAATATCACATAAAAAATAACACAATTGCAACTTTCAAAAAGTCAAAAACACATTTTGATGCATAGGTTTAAAACACCAAGTGCAATGTGTGTAAATATGAAAGTTTAGGCGTGAGATATGTAAATATATAAGAATTGTGTCCTTCGTATGTAAGTTTCCTTATATATATACATGATTGTGCGCGTTCTGTGGTCTGCTGGTAGGGCAGCCTTTTTGAAGGTCATAAGTCCCCTCAAGTTTCAGGTTCGAATCCCCCCGTGTGTAGGTGTGGTATTCGAATTATTTCCACACCGCGTCGGCCACCAGACCTAGCGGGGGTTAGCGCAAAGGGGGTTGATCGACGGTCCGCCCTTCGATCAATCTTTAAAAAATATATATAGATAGATACATACATGACTGAAAAACAAAAGCAGCAATACACCAAAGCTTGAAAGGTCTACAACTATTCACCTCATAACAAAAACTAGGGAAACAATTACTAAATTGATAGAAAATGAGGGGAAAAATGATCTCAATTCAATTGTGTTTTTACAATATTTATATAGAGCTAATATATAGATAATGAAGGATGGAAACAAAGGAAAATTATAATTGAAAAGTATCTCACAAAAATACAGAATGAGGCTACAATGACTAGATCTTAATACGCAGGGATATTTATATCCATACCAACGAAGCCACTGTATTTACATAACATCAAAGAGAAAAAATTTAGATTGGTTAACCCATTATTATTTGCTATGTCGCAATGAAATTATTGGGGATTTGCAAAATGTTGAGAATGAAAGTTGATAGTTTTGTTGTGAATATTGATATTTTGATGTAAATGTGGCAAATGGAGATGGGAATGTGTTAATTTTATAAGTAGACAAGATTTTAGAGTACAAAATTGCCCTAGTGCATACGATAATAATCTCCCATAAATTCAAGAAAAGAAGTTGGCAACTTGAGTTTGGTGCACAACTCACAAAAAAGAAATAGATAATGTGATTTGTTGAAAATACACATGTTTATCTTGAGAAGTTGGTTGAAATAAAATTATACAAAGAACAACATCATCAGGAATATAATAACTGGTTTCAATGTGTTTAGTACGTTCATGTAGAAATCATTTTGAGAAATAATAATAGCACTTTGATTATCACAATTAGAACAAAGGGATAGTTATGCACTAAGCCTTTATCAATAAGAAACCATGACAACCAAATTACCTCCCTTGCTCCCTAATGAAGGCAAAATATTTGACACTAAAATAAGAAACAGTTATTTTTCTTACTTTGCCAAGAGATCAAAGAGGTGCTCAAGAATAAACAAAAATCATAAATAGATTTACTATCAACTGGATGGATGTCCAACCCGATCAACATCAAAATATGTGACAATGATGTCAAGCCAGTCTTCAAGTCAGTGAAGCTCATTAAACTAAGAGAAAATAAATAGGAAATCAAAAGATATTCCAAGTTCAAGAAAAAAATGTGAGATATTTTATTTCAAAGTAATGTTTGAGATGATTTTTAAAAGCAGTGATATTATCATTGTCATTTCTAATAATAAATAAGTCGTCCACATAAAGAAGCCACAATATTGTGCCTAAGAGCGGTGATTAAAAAGTGTAGAATAATATGGAATGGAAGTGTGGCCAATATCATGAGTAATGCAATTGAACTTTTGGAATCTTGAATAAAGAGAGCATGTTAATGTCATAAAGAGCTCATCAAAATAGACGAGCTTTTCGCCTGAAATACTAATATCATATGGTCACGCCATAAAAACTTTGCAAAAACACAATTTAGAAAAGCATTATTGACATCCATTTGAAACATAAGACAACGACACAAGAAAAACAAGAATATGGCACACAAATGAAAGATGAGCCATAAAAATTAAAGTTCCATCAGAATAAACACTATGTTCCTTCTCTAGAGCGATTAGATTGTCAAACTAGCTTCATGCATTGTCGTTACATATTTGTATTATTAAATATGCCATACTCAAAAGGAAAGTAAGAAAGAGAACGCATGATAAAATAATAAAATTAAGAATGTGAAGCATAATAGCATTTTCCCAAAACATTGATATGATGAGTGATTCTAAGAAGTGATATAGGATCCCAACAACAAACCTCATATTCTAGGCTATATTTCAAGAGGCAGAGATCAGAGAAACTTTTAAATCATGAGAGAATAATGAAAGGAGCAAGACCCAAATGACGCTAAAAATATGATAATGAAAAATATGATAATGATTTCATTATGAACATAATGCAGAAAAAAGAACATTAAGAAAAATTGTTGTGTTGTGTTGTCTTCAAAAAGTAAGGAACAAAGAGTCCTTGTATTCCATCACATTGTTTGAATGAAAAAAATTTATAAGGCATGAAAGTTGTGCAAAAATCATGGCCACAAACTAAGATACATTGTAAAGTTCGGAATATTTTTGAATGAATAAAGCCAAAAAAATTGAAAATTATCATCAGTAAAAATAACAATATATCAAAACTCACCAATATGGATGAAGAGCAAGACCTTAAACAATCAAGTGAACGAGATAAAAAAGAGCATCGATGGCACACGAGTAACTATTATGGAAAGGTAAAAAAATTGTTCAAAATTTGACAAATATGCAATGATCTATTTTATAAGGGATAGGCTGAACACAAGAAACAAGTTTGCAAAAAGAACACAAGGAAACATGACTAAGGCGAGAATGTCATAAACTATGGGGTGGAACTGGTGGATATGGATGCAATAAAAATTGTATTAGATACAGATGACTACATTTTGAGATCTGCAATTGCAAACAAGCGAGCATCCCTAAACCATGTCTCGACAACATGTCCAGTTGGAGAGTGAGAAAATAAAAGATTATATCCGAGTTTTCATAATTATTAAAAAAAAATGGAGATTAAAGGTAATTTGAGATAAATTTAGTGAGGAAAACAGAATAGGAGTAGATAAGTGGCCAATTTAAGAGAGAAATAAAGTGAAGCCATATACATTTTATATCAAATAAGTAAAAATGAGTAGCATTTTGTGGAATAAAAAAAGTAGTAGATTAGTAGTCATATGATTTTATATAATAACTAAATGTAAAATTAAGACGCCAAGTAAAAGTAGCCAAGATAGTTAATATGCCACAGAGATAGGGGTATCAATTTGATGTTTGTACTTGTTGAAGAGAAACGACAAGACTTTTAGAGAAAGAGTAACCATATGGGATGAAGAAAGCTCGTTGATGGTGGAAGTAGAAGTAGCAGCATAAATATTCATACTTGATGAAGCAGAGGACTCGAAAAATTTCATAGAAGGTTTGTCTCCCAAAAAACTGCATAATATAGATCATAATACCATTTAAGGTTATTATGTCCAGAAGAAAACTTTGAAGCAATAGTGACATTTGCGAAGAAGACAATCATCAAGAATTTGTCAAGAGTTTGCGCAATGTCAGCTCACAGAGGACATGAATCAAGTCAAGAATAGGATCGGCAGCTAATCCCATGAACTAAGAAAAGAGTCCATGGTTCTTACAAAGTGGCAGCAAGTAAAGTGACCAAAAATTGTGAAAGTCATAGAAAGAGCATGACTATAACTGATGAGGTTCATGATAAATAGTAAAAAAAAGGTCAAATATAGAGAGGTTGTGATGTGACCTCAAAATCTAGGATCAAGTAGGCAAGATCAATTCCCCAATAAAGGATGAAAACACACCGCATCACGAACAATGGAGTGATGAATAGGGTATGATGACAGAATAGCTTCATGAGGTTGGCACAAGGTTAATTGCATGGATTCATGATTGAGAGGTTAATGAAATGGGGGGCCCTAGAAGTTCAAATAGACTTGACCCAACAATTTTGACCGAAACCACAATCCTGACTCCTAAGAGCAATGACGTGCAAGGACGTTACGATAAATACCAGAAGATGGAAACATGGGCTGCAAATGTGAGCCACATGAAGCCCTAGGATAGACGCATGCATGGTACAAGAACCATGGTTTTGGATGGGTTGTCAACTTCTTCACAGTCTTTAATGAGAAGGTCCACAAGAATAAGATAACAAAATTTTTGGTTTGAGAAGTTGTTGCTACAAAGACCGGTGTGTGAAATAGCTCGACTTTATTATTAATCTCTCTTTTAGAGCTACAACTGATGCATTTATGCTTAGCTCATTAAAAGATCACTGAGGTGAAAGCATGCAATGAATGATAGGGAAAGAAGAGACAAGACCACGGTGTGCGAGAGGCCAATAATCGAAAAAACATGCCAGCGATAAGGGCTGTAGATCTTTGTGTAGATGTGAGCCTCTAGTTGTTGTGTGGCATGGATATGAGCACTGAGAAAGACAAGCATCAAATAAGTCACCAATCAATCAATCATAGCTCTGTCAAGATTATGTGTTAGAGAAGAAGATGATGTCAAGGTCAAGTCAGATGAGAAGATAGTTGTCAAAGTCGGTCAACGGAAGGTCAGAAACAGACACTTGTGATCAAAGGCGAGAAAGTGTTAAAGACTGACCCTTGTGGTTAGGGTTATATATGGGTGTCCCAATTAAAGTTAGAGTCAGATAGCAGTATCAAAGCTCAGAGAAGAGGATCACAATCAAGGTCAAAGAGGGACTTGCAGTTGGCAATACGAGAAAGGGATGAAGTCATCAAACATGAGAGAGAATCTTTGATGCTCAAATGAAAGCACCTGCAACATGAATTGTAGAGAAACATTGACAAGTGGCTCTAATGCCGTGGTAGAAATGAGAGAAAATTTGATCTCCCTTGAATTTTGTTTTGTACAATATATATAGAAAATTTATATAGGTATATAAAGAGAGAGCAACAAAAGAAAATCAGCATACAAAATATATCTTCCAATAAAGAAAAAAAATCTATCACCAACAAAAGAAACAATCATAACAGGATCCCAGAACAAGTAGTAATAAAATCGTTGAAGTAAAATGAATTTGTTCGTAAGATCTTTTTCTCTTCAATACAAAAGTACGCAGGTTTACCAAAACATGTTAAATGAAGCCTCAGAAGTTCCATGTAAACTTACAAAACAGTGAGATGTGCCAGCTCTCCGATTCTTGGTGACAAAAATCCATTGAACCCCATGTTAGCTAATGTTCTGCAACAGAAAGATAGAAAACATGAAATATTGCAGGCAAATAATCAAATAAATTTAACTAAAAGCTCTTATATGTTATCAATTCAATAAAACGTATTAACCTCTTTTATTGAAAGTTGTATTACAAACCATAGCATAAAGATACACAGCATATTGAAGGAAAATAGCAGGCCCTGGGTGCTACATCAACTTACACTTGAACAACATTGTTATTGCTGTCACAAATTACAGAATTCCAAGTGCAAGGAGTAACTTGGTTCTGATTCCAATCACTAAGCTGATTACCAGTAGCATTTAATTTATTTTTCAGGTCAATTAATGCGTCCCCTGAAACATGTAGCGGTTATGCCTTAGTTCTTGAGCCAAGGAAATTAAAAAGTACAAAAAAAAAAGGGAAATTTACATGAACAACAGCACACAATTCTTATGTATTTACATGTCTCACACCTAAACCTTCATATTTACATACATAGCACTTTGATGCTTTAAATTTATACATGAAAAAGGTGCATTTCTTTTTTAAAAAGCTGTAATAGTGCTCTTTTTTATATAATATTAAAGATTTGAGTGCTATGTGTGTAAATATGAAAGTGTAGGTGTGAGATTTGTAAATATATATGAGTTGTGTATTAAGCATGTAAAATCAAAAAAAACGCAGTAAATAACTATGACACATAAACATGATATATATGGACAAAATAAAACTAAGAGGAAAGGTTGGACACTAAAAATTATAATATAGAAACATGGAAACGTACAATTCCCAACATGGATCAGAAAGATGCTGAGATGTAGTGATAGATAAATGATGAAAGCCGGAAACATAGAGAATGCAAGATGTGTTATTAGCATTTACGAAATGCGGAGAAGAAGACATTTAGCAACTGCCTTGGATGTCTTCCTAAATAAACTGAGCTTAACAGCAGAAAATCATAGAAAAACAAAGAAGCAGAAGGCATCTCTGATGCATTTTTGCAGACTCCTTGGAACTTCTGCTTGTTTTGAAAAGAAAAAAGATAGGAAGTGTTTGCACCACTTGAAGTTAATTTGACTTTGCCCCAGTAATTAGTGTCTCCATCCATGTGACCAACTGTCTATATTTGAATTTGTATTCAACCGAAGACAAAGTAATCACAAAATATAGAAACTACAAACAATTACTTGTGGCCCATGTTAAAATGTTAGGCTATTAAGATGAAATGCTTATTTTATTGAAATGTCTTCTAACATGCTTACTAATCGTTTTTTTATTATGAAATATATATTACCCTATAGAGAAACTATAAAACCTCATGAATTGCAAATTTATCCTCTTGCAAACACCAAGAGCATTAATTATAGGCTCATCTTTATCCAAACTTTCTGGAGGTTTAAGCTATCATTTAAATGTTGCTCCAGACTTTACAAACTCTTTCAATCCCTCATCAAATGGAAGGATCAACCACTTTTTCAAGACGTTTAGATGACATAGGAAGACTTGGAGAAGCATGCAGCATACTTAAACTTCATTTGGGATGGCCGCGACTTTTTGTAGAAAGAAAAGCGTCAATATAGTCCCCTGACATTTTGCATGCAGTCATTTTAGTCCCAAAGTCAATAAAGGTGTCAATTAAGTCCCCAAACTATTTTAATGTGGGCTAAATCAATCCGCTTTAGGACTATTTCAGCAATATCAAAAGAGTGTGAGGACTATTTTAACATTTTTATAAACTCTGGAACTCAAATGGCACCATGTAAATAGTTAGAGGACTATTTCAACACTAAATTTTTGTAAATGTGGTTGTAAAGCAATGGTAGGAAAATCAACTTCTTAGAAGGCTACGGTGTGAATTATAAATATTTATTTTTTAAAAAAAGTCAGACAACAGTTTTCTTAGAACCACCACATTTTACAGATCTGGTTGCAAGATGCAACTTCTCACAAAAAAAAATTTTAGGAAGCAGAAAAATAACAGCTTACCAAACAAAATTGTAGTGGCGGTTTGAAAGACGATACAAGTAGAAAGATGTCTGAAACAGACCCTTTGCGACCTTTCAAAAAAAAAAAATCCTTATTCAATAAATAACTTGATTTGAACTTGGTAAGGCAGACCTTTATGATTTACTATAGTTGATGCAACACTACAACATATACATAAACCAATTAAAAATCCAAGGCAAGAACCTAGCGTCAATCATAAAAACCCCCATTATCATCAAGCACGGCAATCAACGATATCATCCTTCACAAAGTTCAATGCATGAGTATTATGGGCCCTGCTTGATCAATTTCAACATTTGCTAAAAACCATGTGTCACGCTCCTATAAATGCTTTGGTTGATCTCTCCTTATATAGGAAATTGACAAGTGACGGAAATAAGGTTCTGTTCTTCTTCCTGCTTTACATGAGCAGCTCCTACAGGATATGTGAAGATTGCAATGAAAAAGATTAACTCTTTCTTAATTTAGCATGGTTGAACTTACATGATTTTATCAGGTTTATTTCTATGCTTGCTCTCTTTATAACTCTAAACATACAAGTCTTTTGTTGCTCTAATTAACCATTACACCGTTCAGTTACTAGTTGCAATAGAAGTTGTTCGCATGGCTGCTTACTCTTGTTGAAAATCTCTAGTAAGTTATTTAGACTTGCATATTGTGTTATTTAATTATCCATTTTGATTTCCACCTCCCCACACCCCATCTCTTTTGGCCCAACCCATCATAAGAGTCCTAGCGGCACCTTTCTCTTTCTCCCCAAAACATCACAAAGCCCTAAAAGCTTTTGGTGTTGTCCCACTCTCTTCTACTTCTAAATCAATCTAAATCCTTAACCTAAGTTAACAATCTCCCCTGAAATGATAAACTAACCCCACTTCCCATCACAACTTCCAAATTAAGCTACACCTCTTGTAGCTCATTGAGAAGACTACAAACCCCAGTTTTGCCAACCAAATCACACCTCAATCAATCACAATTCATCACAAAATACTATCAGAAAATGCAACCCATCAATGTCTAAGGAGCCAAATCTTCATTTGCCTTCAAACACAAGAAACAATACACAAAGCCTCCAACCACTGCCTAACACAAGAAGTGCCTTAGGAATATCAGGTGACAAGAAGATATCATAAGGAATTAAAAAAAAAATTACACAATCACAATTAAACCATAGATGTTCTGTTATTATGAGTGTTGAGCACTAAAAAATTCGTTGACATATGTGTTGCATGTTGTATGAATGAGAATATTGACGAATGTGTGAAAAAACTAGAAAAGGTAATTAAAAAAAATTAAATTAAAAATGGTCGGAATCAAATCTGTTGAAAAAAATCATTGAACATAGAATAAAGTGATTTGTATGTGTATAACAAAGAGTAGAAAATACATCCATTTGATGAGAAAATTAAATTAGTTACTGAGCACCTGGAATAAGAAGGGGTGGATATAAAATAATAAAAGAAGAAGTTGGCTACAATGACAAATAACACTCAATATGACTAAACACCAAATGAAAATTAGTAAAGCCAAACACAAATAATTGAGATAAAAAAAATTATTATTAAATAACCAACTCATTAAGAATTATGTTTTTCAAATAGTTGGGAGTATGATGGATGAGCATTTTTTTCTTCTCCTATGCTGCCGATTCGCATCTCAAAGTGGCAGTTACCCTTGAATTGGAAAATACAATTCATGCACAATTAAAATTAGGGGTAATTTGCTTGCTGAAATCTTTGAGGTTATTTAACTTTAATAACTAATGTCAGTTATTTATGCGCTAACACTTTTAGTTAGTGACTCTCATTAAGGGCAAAATATTGAGCAAAAAAATGTGAGATCACCCATTATTATTCTATAGAATTGCAATTAGAATAGGCAATTAGAATGCGCTAACACAAACTGTTGGATCCAAATTCATTCATGATAATGCCTGAACCCTACTTGATAACCCGCAAAATAGTAATAAACCCCCAAAGAAAAGAGTGGGAAGAAGATGAGAGGGTAGAGAAAGAAATATGTGGGATTTTGAAGGATCTTAATATCCACAAAAAGTTCAAGAGTACAATATGTGTCATATCTTGTCTTCTGTCTTGTCCTTCTCAATGGTTTGACTCTATAATTACAGTTTTTTTTAGCACTACATAAAAATCTATATTTTTATCTAGCAATACATAAACAAATAATACATGATATAACCATTACAAATACGAGGACACAATGATCTGAGTCCTAATAAGTACATGTAGACCGCCACCTTGGGCAAGCACTTCAAAAGTTTCATCAATTGGATAGATGAGTTGTTGTCTTTGAATAGACGACTTCTTTCTATGCCTTAAACAAATAATTTAATTGCAGAATGAGCAACCCCTATACTTTGGCAAGTGTCTTCAAAGCAGGGTGAGAGCCTTTCAGGATTGGTGAGTTCCCTCCATGCCATTCAAGTGCCGTTATAGCTGCATGAATGCTCTCTGAGGTGAACAAGTGCCTTATATCCCAGTTGAGTGGACTTGAGAGCCATTCCCATTGATTTTTCGCTAATCCATTTAATCTTCTTAGATTCACAGCTTATTTGTGAATACATGAGTCAAATAAAAAGAAACTGAGATTGCAATGGCATTCTAATAATGTTATATCATAATTTTAGAAATAGTGAACGAAAGCGGTCAAACTAAAGCGAATATAAATTATTGATAATCTGTGATGAATGTATAAGAGAAATGTTACACTCCCTAAAAAAAATTCTACACGGACACTACCGGTGTATCATAACTTGATTAGGCTGGCCAATATAAATTACTCCCCAAGCAAATGTGCATGACACCTTCCTATTTTGTTTGAGCCACTTGGAAAAGTAACTCTTAAATATCATTATTATTATTATTATTATTATTATTATTAGTGTTAGTATTTTGTGTCAATTTGTCTGAAGAGTGCAGTGTTACTCGAGAACAATGTAGAAAAAGAGCAAAGTACCTTCACTATCAGCTACAACAACTGAAAGCAGACCAGCAAGCAAAAGCTTCAAAATAATCAGTCTCATCTTTCTCCAAGGATTTTCACTAATGATAATATAGTCATGACTGTGAAAGTTTAAATAGAAAGGCCATCCCCTACAAAAGTAATAGAAAGTGATCAACAAACAAATGATGAAGAACATGTAGAAAACAGAAATTGTTGAGAAAATATCCTTAAAAAAAGGACCCAAATCAGTACCATGCCATAGAACATTTGGGAGTTATTGGAGGACATTCAATCTTTTTATTGTCACATTTGCATGCACACCAACCAATTCTTATCTATTTACATATCTAACTCCAAAAAAATTAACTTTTTGACAATTATACCACCCAAAATTTTTATACCAAGTCAAAAGTATCACTATTTTGACTTTTAAATGGTGAAAGTTGAAATACAAAAATGGTATATATGTAAAAATTGAAGCATAGCTGTTGGATACATAAATAAATAAGAATTGACCGGTATTTATGTAAATCTTCCTTGTTTTCTTAAAGAATCCATCTGTTCTCCAAATATCGCTTCCCTTCAAAAACATAAGAATATTGATTTAACAATTAAAAGAAGCTCTACAGAGCCCTTCCACCCATGATTGCCCGCATCTCAAGAAATAATAATAATAACATCAAAACTTTGCAATACAGAGAGCGCACGACGCCATGAGCAAATCAATAAAAAAGCAAAATCCAAATATCCAATCCATCTTTTTACCCTTTTGATACAGTAAACCCCAGTATTTTCCTCAGCCTGCTACAGAATTGTAAAATTAGATTTCTTTAAATAAAGAAATTTCACTCGTAATTTTTGCAATATTAGGTTAGAAAATCTCAGGTTACCCAATTCCCGGAAACCCTATCATCAAATTCGCAGCACCTAAAAGATCGAACAGAAGAAACAAACATAGAAACACTGATCCACATACAGTCTTAACTAATCCATAGAAACATCGATACAGAAACTTCTCCAGCAGTAATAGGTAAGAGCTCAGTATGAGAGAGAGATAGACAGAGGGAGTAATCGAACCGTCAAAGGAGCACGAAGAGCCTGAGCGATAGAGTTTCCCGGCGAGAATCTTGGAGGAGGAGCACCCTTCTTCACCCACAAGGCTGTCAAAACAATTTTGGAAGTTTTACATCCATACCCCTCAATTCCTTTGTAATTACATATCTAAAATCTGACCATCTGAGAAATTTCATTTTCAAAAATGAAAATGTAAATATATAAGAGTTGAATGGTATGTATGCAAATGCCCCAATAATTGGTTGGGCCCCACTAACTTTAGTTTAATTATACAATTATTATTTAGACAGAAAGGTATTTGAAAGTAGGGCTGTCAAAAAAAGCTCGTTGTTCGCGAACAGTTCGTGTTCGGTTCGTCAATAAGTTCGTGTTTGATTCGTTCGATAAGTAAACGAGACAAACACGAACAAATTTTTTTCGTTCGGTTAGTTAAACGAACCAAACACGAACAGTGATGTGTTCGTTCGTGTTCGAATCGTTATTGTTTGAAATATAAAATAATATAAAATAATTATATATAAAAAATTTATTATATTTTAAAACATTAAATTTTATAAATTATAATATATAATAAAATAATAATAATAATATATTAATATACTATAGTAGTAATATACTAATATAGATATTGAATATTTATATAATATAAGTTATATAATTAATATATAATATTATTTTTATATATTAATATTAGGGATATCAAATTGGCTTGGCGTTCGCGAACAGCTCGTGTTCGGTTCGTGTTCGGCTCGTTCGTTAAGAAACGAACACGAGCTTATTTCAAACAAACTAAATTTTAAACGAACCGAACACGAACACAAGCTTTATTCGTTCGTGTTCGGCTCGTTTACACCCCTATTTGAAAGTCAATATAAAAATTCAACGATGAAAATATAAATAGATAAAACTATAGGGATATGTACCAAAATCTCCCTAATAGTTATATGAATATAGTTTTAAGAAAAATTATACGAGAATATTCTTATATAATTTTTGTTAGTATTCGCCTTCAAATCATTTTAATTAATTTGATACTTATGAAAATTAACCAAAAACATTTGTTATGCGCATCTCAAAATAAATTTAGTGAGCTACAATTTTGGATCGAAATTTTCCGAGCCTATTCTGAGCCATTCCCAGCTCAATTCGAAATTGGATCGTTAGCAGCTCTATGCTAGCAAAAGTTGGCTCATCAAGCCACAAAAGCAACGTGAAAGGTTGCTAAGGGCCTCGATGAACAAACGATAAAATCAATGGATTTGAGGGTTCGTCAACTTCCCATTTGGAGCTAAAAAGCAATCTTAACCACCCGATCTAAGAAAGCAAAAGGAAAGGGCGGTCGAATTGCAGGCGAGTGAACCTTAAAGTCAGGCGGCCACACCCTAATCGTGGATGACTAACTCGAACTTCTCATGCACGACTCGGCCGATGGGCCATAACACCCCCAATGAGTTGGCCAACTCGGCCCAATACCAAGCCCATTTGTACTTCTCTTGTGTCTTTAATTGGGCGACTAAGAGACACCGATGACTAACTAAGCTAGTGTGCTCCCACTTGTCCACCTTCAGGGTTGAACAGATGTGGTCTAAATATGAAGTCAATCTTTGTGGTGTGTATAAGTTTTGTTTGGTCAGAATGTAAGAGGACGATAGCGGCCAATAAGATGTTCAAATCCATGAAAATGCATGTGATATAATTCTTATTTACTTATTTAACATTTAAATTTTAAAACAAACTAAATTTTAAACGAACCGAACACGAACACAAGCTTTATTCGTTCGTGTTCGGCTCGTTTACACCCCTATTTGAAAGTCAATATAAAAATTCAACGATGAAAATATAAATAGATAAAACTATAGGGATATGTACCAAAATCTCCCTAATAGTTATATGAATATAGTTTTAAGAAAAATTATACGAGAATATTCTTATATAATTTTTGTTAGTATTCGCCTTCAAATCATTTTAATTAATTTGATACTTATGAAAATTAACCAAAAACATTTGTTATGCGCATCTCAAAATAAATTTAGTGAGCTACAGTTTTGGATCGAAATTTTCCGAGCCTATTCTGAGCCATTCCCAGCTCAATTCGAAATTGGATCGTTAGCAGCTCTATGCTAGCAAAAGTTGGCTCATCAAGCCACAAAAGCAACGTGAAAGGTTGCTAAGGGCCTCGATGAACAAACGATAAAATCAATGGATTTGAGGGTTCGTCAACTTCCCATTTGGAGCTAAAAAGCAATCTTAACCACCCGATCTAAGAAAGCAAAAGGAAAGGGCGGTCGAATTGCAGGCGAGTGAACCTTAAAGTCAGGCGGCCACACCCTAATCGTGGATGACTAACTCGAACTTCTCATGCACGACTCGCCGATGGGCCATAACACCCCCCAATGAGTCGGCTGACTCGACCCAATACCAGCCCATTTGTATTTCTCTTGTGTCTTTAATTGGGCGACTAAGAGACCGATGACTAACTAAGCTAGTGTGCTCCCACTTGTCCACCTTCAGCGTTGAACAGATGTGGTCTAAATATGATGTCAAGCTATGTGGTGTGTATAAGTTTTGTTTTGTCAGAATGTAAGAGGAATATAGCGGCCAATAAGATGTTCAAGTCCATGAAAATGCATGTGATATAATTCATATTTACTTATTCAACATTTAATATTTAAATTTTATTTATATTAAATTCTAATGTCATTATTAAATTAAAATATAAGCAAGAATAAATGTACTTTATTTCAATGGCATACATGCACCTAAGGCTATAATCGAGCTGGATCGAGTAAAGTCGAGCGTTTATATCATGGATTGGACGAGGCTTAGTCGAATCATAAGCTGTTCATATCCAATTCGAGCTTGAGCCAAGCTTTCAATGACACGAGGATTCATACTCTGCCTGACAAAATTTTAAAATGATCGTACTTAATTTGTAATTAATCTATATATTTTAATCGAACACACAAAAAAATTAACCAATTACTTGATTTTTCATGTAAAATACAAAAATTTATATGTAATTGATTTTTCATATAAGACTACTAAATAAGCTAATTATGCTAACAAATTACATAAGAAAATACTAACAAACTAGTTTATTAGAATAAAAACCTATGAAGAAATTATATTAAATTTAGAAGCATATTGATATTACATTATTATATGTTACTATTAAATATATAATTAAAAAAAGTTCTAAATAACTAACTTTTATTTAAAATTAATATCATATAAATATAGATCATTTAACATATTAATTGTTAAGTAACAAACGAGCTAGCTTGTTCGTAAATATTAACACACATGATTAAGTATTAATCAAGCTGAGCTCAAGTTATTCATCGAGTGTACTGGTTCATTTACAATCATAATATTAGCACTCTAAACATTATTATTTACAAATTTAGCAGTCTAACATTCTCATTTATCCATTTTTAAAATTCTTGCTCAAATATAAAAATTCATCATAAAATCATAAACAATATTTTCCTGCATATTTTTCATTTTTATCAAATTCACGACGATGTAGTCGTTAATCGTCCTATTAAAAAACAATTTAATTATATGATGATAATGATTTGAATATTATACAAATAAATATTTATATATAAATAAAAGTAGTTAATTACAATTATATTGCTATTATGTTTTTTGATAATTCAAGGGGAGAATTTTTTAAATTAGCTTTTCTTAAAAGATTAGTAAATATGTTAAAAGTTCGAATGAGCATTTCATTTTTTATGTAAATTTCTTAATAAATATTTTTATGAAATAAAATAAATAAGCAATTAAATAAATTTTAAATTAACATCAATTTAGTTTACACCAAAAAAATAAATTAATATATAAATTATAAATATGCATTTTTTTGTAATTAAATAACATACTAACAATTTAGTTCATTGGAATAAAAAAAAAGAAGAAGAAATTGTATTAAATTTTCATGCATGTTCATATTAAATAATAATAAATTATTATTAAATGTAAATTTAAATAAATTTTAATCAATCAAATATCATTTAAATAATATATCATATTGGTATAGTGCATTTATCATGTTATTTGTTGAAAGACAAACGAGCTCATTGGTGAACATTAACAAACGAGTTAGTTTATTTTTGAAAATTTTCATTTAACTATTCTGTGTAATAAAATGTTTAAACTTTTTTTATTATTATTAATTTGAATAAAATATTGAGTATTAATCAAACTGAAATCAAGCCTTTCATCAAGTGCATTGACTCATTTACAGTTCTAGTACTAATACCCAAAGCATTATTATTTAGAAATCTAGCACTCTTTTCATCTTTTTTTTATAATTCTCACCCTAATATTTTTATTTTTATCAAATTCTTAGTGATTTGATCATGACATACATAAATGCATCCATTCGATAGTTAAAAATATCACATGGGAGTTAGTTTTCTAAATAACAATATTTAGAGTGTTATGTATGAATTAACCCGTTAAAAAATAATTTTATGATATGATTGTTGTGGGTCAGATGATTTACAAAGGTAGAGTGATAATTTAACATCTTAGCATTACAAAAAGATATAACACACATACATATAATAGAAAAATACCAAGAGGAGATATCATGATTTTTTTACGTGGGAAAACCCTGGAAAAGGAAAAAAAACATGGGGTCTAGCATAGTCAAAATAACTTATACTATTTTTGTAAGTACATAGGTTTATTATTCTCATAAATTAAATAATATATAATTGTAATGTCATGTTCTAATTATATAATATTAGTTAAACTATAATGATTGCAATTGGACTACAACTAATATAGTTGATCATGAAAGTTGTATTCGAGAAATACAATTATGACAATTGGCCATGGAGGATACAATTGGAAGTTGTAGTAATTATTAGTCATATGTGCAATAGTTTGGGGTTGTAGTATCGTTAGTTGGTCACGAACGTCATAGTTGGAAGTAATAATAGTAGTTGGTCATAGAAGTTGTAGTTGGGGGTTGTAGTAAAGTTAGTTGGTCACAACATCATAAATAACAATATTTAGAGTGTTATGTATGAATTAACCTGTTAAAAAATAATTTTCTGATATGATTGTTGCGGGTCAGATGATTTACAAAGGTAGAGTGATGATTTAACATCTTAGCATTACAGAAAGATATAACACACATACATACAATAGAAAAATACCAATAGGAGATATCATGATTTTTTATGTGGGAAACCCTGGAAAAGGAAAAAAAAAATATGAGGTCTAGCATAGTCAAAATAACTTATAATGTGTTTGTAAGTACATAGGTTTACTGTTCTCATAAATTAAAGAAGATATAATTGTAATGTCATATTCTAATTATATAATATTAGCTCAACTATAATGATTGCAATTGGACTACAACTAATATAATTGATCATGAAAGTTGTATTCGAGAAATATAATTACGACAATTGGCCATGGAGGCTACAATTGGAAGTTGTAGTAATTGTTAGTCATATGTGCAATAGTTTAGGGTTGTAGTACCGTTAGTTGGTCACGAACATCATAGTTGGAAGTAGTGATAGTAGTTGGTCATAGATGTTGTAGTTAGGGTTTGTAGTAAAGTTAGTTGGCCACAACATCATAGCTGAAAGATATAATCGTAGTAGTTGATCACATAAATAGTAGTTGATAGTTATAATATTATCAATTGGTTACATTATACATAATAACAGTAGTTCATCACATAAACAATAGTAGGTGGTTGCACTATTGTCAGTTGGTGGTTGTAATATTGTCAATTAGTCTTAGATGTTGTAGTTGGGGGTTGTCGTAAAGTTAGTTGGCCACAACAACATAGTTGAAAGATATAATAATAGTAGTCGGTCACATAAATAGTAGTTGGTGATTGTAATATTATCAGTTAACCACATAGACCATAATAGTAGTAGTTCGTCGCAAAAGCAGTAGTAGGTGATTGTAATATTGTCAGTTGGTCAAATTGAAAATTATCACTTGAACCGCTTGTTTGTCATCATCAACTATCATCAATGTCATCAATCATAAACAATTACATTTATAGCATTCAATATTACAATTAAAGGACATCAAACTATTGTTGTCTATTTTTTAATTTTGTCTTTTGATAAAAAACACACATTCCTCTAATTTTTTATTTCTTATAGACTATTTCAATAGTATGGATAGCAAGGGTGTAAAATTTTGAGTTGTCATAAATACCACATTACAAATTACAAGTTCACTATATTTTTTTAAATTTATTTTATAGGCAAGTTGTAGATGTTATAATGGCTCCACCCATATTAAATTTGTCATTTTGAAATGACAAAGGAGCTCATTGTAAATTAACACTTTTAAAAAAGGCAATCATCAGTAAAAAAAAGCTTTAAAATTGCAACTGACGTCGGACTTAAATAAAATAATTGCCAATCAAACCTCGACAAAATAAGGTTTGTACATATTATAAAAATAAAGAAATGGCCATAAAATTGTAAGCTTTTCCACGTAAATGGTGGAGCCAAGGAGGTGAAATTACCACACTTTAGGGAGAAACACACAGTAGAGAGAGAGAGAGAGGAGCGCCCGCGTGCGAACCGCGCTCGTGAGGGAATTTCACCTTACCGGCTTCCCGGGTCCACCAAGTTTTTGTTCTTATTCCCTTCGATCTCTCGTTTCGTCTCCCAAGCCGAACTATTCTTCAGCAATCTGCTGTGCTATGATAGATCGCATAAAGATTGGAGCTTTTTGATTCGGAGCAAGAAAAACAGGAGATTTGGATCATCTTTGTTATTGTTTGTTCGGTATTGTACCCTTTTTCTACTTTTCTTCTCCTTGATTGCTTGGTCTGAGGAAGTTTTGATGGCTTGTTAGGGTTCTAGGCGGGAGGCCGAGGTTGGATTTTGGGCCGTTAGGTTTAGGTTTTGTTTTTTTTTTTTTTTTGACAATGTTTGGTTTGAATTTATGCTTGGATTGATGTCATGAGTTGATTTTCTTGCACAGACACGATTGAGCGAGATCGTTTCTTTGTTATTTTTCGTTTTTTTCAGATAAATTGGTTAGCTTAGGTCGGAAATTAGTAGTTTCTGTTTTTTTTTTCTTTATAATGAGAAAAGGAAGGCATTTTCGGTATGTGTGGACATTGTTTTGATGAGCTATGGATTCTTCATGATGGAATTTTACTGATTCCAAAGTTTTTTGCTTCTTTTTCTCATCTATATTGCTTGAAGTCATAGTTACAGACTGAAAATTGTTCTTTATTTGTTCTCATTTATCCTTATTTGCAGAAAGTTAAGCTTTTTAAGTGTTTTTGCTGGAACATTAACATAAAATTTGATTATGAAATTTCTATGGTTTTGATGAGCTATGGTTTTCATGAGCTATGGATTCTTCATGATGGAATTTTACTGATTCTAAAGTTCTTTCCTTGTTGTTTCGTCTATATTGCGTTGAGTCATGATTAACGACTGAAAACTGTTCTTTCTTTTGTTCTCATTAATCCTTATTTGCATAAAGTTAAGCTTTTTAAGTGTTTTTGCTGGAACATCAACATAAAATTTGATTATCTAATTTCTATCTTTTTGATGAGCCATGGTTTTGATGAGCTATGGATTCTTCATGATGGAATTTTACGAATTCTAAAGTTCTTTGCTTGTTTTTTCATCTATATTGCTTGAAGACATAATTACAGACTGAAAAATGTTCTTTCTTTGTTCTCATTAATCCTTATTTGCAGAAAGTTAAGCTTTTTAAGTGTTTTTTGCTTGAAGATTAATACAAAATTTGATTATGAAATTACTAACTTTTTCACCCTGTTCTTCCTTGCCTGTTTTATGAAATTTTATGAGTGATCCTACAGGTTTCTCTCTCACGACGGGGTCGGAAAGGATATCTCTTTATATCACACTTATACTCCAACCACTCTGGCCATCACCGGCTGCGAATTTCATTCTCACACCTTGAGGAAGGTGTGGGATCAGAAGGATTCTAATGCCGTCTTGTATTACTTATCTCTCTCTGCCATTCATCTTCGTCGCCACTTCTGTTGTAATCAGAAGGGTTCTCCAATCGATAATGGCTAATCATTGAAGGCCTCACAGCTCTAATTTGCAGTTTTTCATTCATTTGGTATCAGTTTCCTCGTTCGTTTTGGTGATATTGTGTGATTTGTAAAAGATATTACGAAATATTTAACAGAAGTTAAGGTCTGCAACTCTGTTTGTGTTTGTTTAATTTGTTTCCGTCCATTGTTTTATTTTCTAAATTTTGCGTAATGGCAATATGCTCTTGTTTGGCAAAGTTTTTGGCAGGAAGGAAGAAGAAATCTAAGGTAAGAGATGGCGGTCATGTTTTCATACATTTTTTTATTACTTTTTGGAAGATTTACATACATATCCCTCAAAATTTTTATGTGATTACATATCTAACAGCAAAACTACAATTTTTACTTATATGCCGCCTTAAAAATGCATGAAAAGTTGTATTTCACTTTTTTTTTTATGTTAAAATAGTGGTATTGTGATGTGATATGAAAGATTTGGGCGGTATTAATGTGAAAGCTAATATGTGATATGAAAGATTTGGGCGGTATTAATGTAAAAGCTAAAAGTTTTGGTTTTAGATATGTAAATGCATAGAAATTGGGTCGTATGTATGCCAATGCTCGATATGTAAATACATAGAAATTGGGTCGTATGTATGCCAATGCTCCCCTTCTCTATGAGCTAACATGGACTGTTATTTTGGACTAGAACTCGCCCGAAGTCATGGATGATGGTAATCGAAGTATCAATGATGGTAAACTCGAGTTTAAGTCAAGTAATATGGCCAGCTCTTCCACCCAAAATGGCCTCCCTGAGTCTCATATTACAATCTCAGACTCATCTCCTATGCAAGTGAAAAGATCTTCCTGTATTTCCGAAGCACCGATTAATGATAATAGCTTGGTCCCGGGTGATTTTATTCAAGAGATAGCTTACGAGGGAGGCGATGAACATGACGAGAGTCGATCCATGAAGAGAGATTACTCCGATTTCGATCTTCAAGCTAAAGGGGAACTTGCTTCACATGGATCAAACACTGAGTTAAACAACTTTGGTTTTGAGATCAAGGTAGAGACAGATGGAGGGCTTAGTCCTGATACAATGCTTGCGAGTGGGCATGTGAGTGATCCTGGTTTGGCACGGAAAGTTTTTGAAGGATCACCGGTTCTTAAGCGATCGTGTTCTAATATCGAAACGAAGAGAGCTACCGAGTCAATCAATTCAGTGAACAGGCTCAGTTCTTATTCCAACCTTCAAAATTTGTTAGGATTAGGTGGAGAAGAAGTTAGTTATGAGGATTATAGCAGCCCCATATCCGTGAAAACTTCTCGTAGCGCCGACCGAGTGATGCTAAGAAGACGTTCTTCGTGCCAGGTGCTTCCCTCTCGAAGCCGAAAAATCTGGTGGAAGCTCTTCCTATGGAGCCATAGAAATCTCCACAAATTCAGTGTTCCTCAAAAACTTGTTTCAGTTCTCAGTACTGCTAATCCAAAGGTTGGGTACTCTTCTGATACCCATGAACCGAGCCAAAAGCTCGATAAGATGAAGAAGGCGGTGGAGAGCCAGTGGGTCGCATTCTCGTCCGAGTCTTCCCCTCGAGACCGAGTTAACGCTTGGATAAACAGCCTCGTGGATGACGGATTCGGTTGTGAAGAAAACCATCATGAAACACTAGATGAAGGAACCGTCATTCGTTCTCATTTCGAGATCGGAGAGTCATCTGGGAAGAGTCATTCCCATACAAGTCGACATGCGATCGAGGAGGTGATACGGGCAAACAATATTATTCGTTCCTTGAATTCGTTCTCTTCAGTGGCTCATATTTCCAATATGGGACTTAAGGTCATTCCTACCATTTCAGCCTTTGGAGGCCTTAGATCAGTCAATCTCTCAGGGAACTTCATAGGTATATTCCATAAACTATGGAGGCAAAAGATTATGGGAAATTTACATACATTTTACACAGTTCTTACCCAAAATTTGATATTTATACTTATAACACTTTAGTGTCATAAACTTACGCATTAAAAGTGTTTTCCACTTTTATGAAGATATTTATACTTATAACACTTTAGTGTCATAAACTTAGGCATTAAAAGTGTTTTCCACTTTTAGTGATGTTGGTATTTTTATATAATGTTAAAGATTTTAATGATATGCATGTAAATATGGGAAATTTATGTGCATTTCACACAATTCTTACCCAAAATTTGATATTTATACTTATAACGTCTTAGTGTCATAAACTTATGCATTAAAAGTGTATTTCACTTCTATTAAGATAGTGATGCTGGTATTTTTATATAATGTTAAAGATTTGAATGATATGCATCTAAATATGTGAAATTTAGTACATTTCACACAATTCTTACCCAAAGTTTGATATTTACACTTATAACACCTTAGTGTCATAAACTTATGCATTAAAAGCATATTTCACTTTTATAAAGACAGTGATTGTGTTGTTTTTGATATGATGTTAAAAATTTGAGTGATATGCATGCAAATATGGGAAATTTACGAATATTTCACACAATTTTTTCCCACAGTTTTAAATTTATACTTATAACATCTTAGTGCCATAAACTTATGCATAAAAGTGTAATTCACTTTTATAAAGGTTGTGATGGTTGAATTTCTGATATGTTTTTAAAGATTTGAGCGGTATGCATGTAAATATGAATGTTTTGGTGTTAGATATGTAAATACATAGGAACTATGTTTTATTTATGTAAATCTTCAAAAGTTTATTGTGGCTTTTTCAGAGATAAAATGTTCAATTCGCATGATGCAGTTCATATCTCTCCCGGTTCGCTTCCGAAGGGCCTTCACACCCTCGACTTGTCCCGGAACAAGATAGCAACCATTGAAGGCCTTAAGGACCTCACAAAGTTGAGGGTTCTTAACTTGAGCTATAACCGCATCGCAAGAATTGGTCGTGGTAAGCCTTTCTCATTTACTTTTATTTTTACTTGTATGCTACCTTATCTATGTATGAATTAGTGCATTTCACTTTTTTTTTTTTTATTACTTTTATTTTTACTTGTATGCTACCTTATCTATATATGAATTGGTGCATTTCACTTTTTTTTTTTTTTTTTTTTAAATTTAAAATAGTGATATTTTTTATGAGATATCAAAGATGTGGGTTTAAAATGTTAACATTAAAAAAAATTTTATTGTTTGAAATGCTTAATATGCAAATTTTAACATTTAAAAAAATATATGAAAGAAGATGATTGTGTGACAATGAATAAGTGGTAATTCGTGTTGAAGAGATAGAGAAACCAATTCAAACACTGAGCGAAAATAACGTAAAATCGAGCATATGATTAACACACACCAACACACAGAGAATTTTATGTTGGTTTATCCAATTAATGGTTAGGTTTTCTTAGCCCTCTAATTCTAGAAGACTTTTTTTGCGGTAAGGCATAAAAGAGTCAAACCGAGTCAAGTTTTAGCTTATTTGAACCAAACTCATTTAATAATTGATTAGCTCGAACTCAAGCTCGACTTGAGTAAAAGAAGTCTAGCTCGAGCCTGATAAAAAAGCTCGAGCTTGACTTGGTTGTTGAGCTCAATTCCATTTGATCGAAGCTATACATTCTAGATTGTAGAGACGGGAGAACCAACTTTGATCTTAATAAATGTTAATCAAGCTGACTCATGTGCTCTAGAGTTTGAGTCTGGCCAAGCTGGAGCTCGTATGATGCATGAGCTCATTAATGTGTCAAGCTCCAGCAGGCTCGCAAGGCAACTTGTCCCACAATTGAGTCAGTTTCGACCTTCTTAGAATTTGACCGCTTCATAATGTGCTTTCATACAGGATTATCCAACTGCACGATCATCAAAGAACTGTACCTCGCCGGCAATAAGATCGGCGAGGTCGAAGGCCTCCATCGCCTCCTAAAGCTCACAGTTGTGGACCTCAGCTTCAACAAGATAAGCACAGCCAAAGCTTTAGGACAGCTTGTCGCCAACTACAACTCTCTCATGGCCCTCAATCTGATTGGGAACCCGATACAGAGCTGTGTGGGAGATGAGCAGGTGAAGAAAACGGTTCTGAGTCTTCTTCCCCACCTCACCTATCTGAACAAGCAGCAGATAAAGCAGCATAGAGCGAGAGAGGTTCCGGCCAGCCGGGCAGCCATTGTTGACACCGGAAGGAGCTCGCAGAGGCGGCCGGTGAGGCTTCTGAGTCAGGTCTCGAGCCCGAACTCATCGACGAAGAAGAAGACTCGACCCAAGGGTAAGTATCAGCAGTCATCTCTGAGAAGGTAAGCCTTGCCTGGTCAGCAGGCTTTATAGCTTTCATTGCCCATAACTTTTGTTCGTTGCTTGATAGTTTTATATGGTTTTGATTCGGAAAAATAAAGAGAATAATTGTGGGAATATTGTTTTTGCATTTTTGTTTAAAATAGTTAATAAATGTTTTTTTTTTCAAGATATTTATGAGATAATCATGTCTAGATTCTATGAAGCTCGTTTTCGTTGATGTTTTTATATTGATGTTAGAGTTGTGAATTTAGCGAATTTTGGTTGAAGATGGTTTATCATTCGAAAATTGACTCGAATTTTTGGCTCCTGTTGGATCGAAATAAACAAGCCAAGTTACAAGCCGACGAAAATTTGAATTTTTTTTTTTTTTTTTTTTTATATATGAATCTGTTCCTTGACAGCTCTACTTCCATTTGTGACATTGGCCAAATATGCAAATAACATGCTCAAATTTTTTTATTTATGCATTATATGATATGAAATTAGGAAGATTTACATACATACCACTTAATACCTATTGTCTTTTACATATCTAACATCCAAACTTCAGTTTTTACATATAACAGCCTACCCATGCATGGAAAGGTGTGTTTCACTTTTTCAAACTTAAAATAGTGATATTTTTTATATGATATGAAAGATTTGGGTGGTATAAGGGTCTGTTTGGGGCAGCTTGTGCGTTTCAAGATAAACAACTTATCCTGAAACGTGGCCTGCGGGTTAGTCGCGAGGGTCGACCCACGATCTGCGTTTAGTGTAAAAAATCAAAATGCGGCAGACAGCGTTTTCAAAAACGCACAAACCAAATGGTTAGGCTGTGTTTTCAAAAGTGTCGCCGCACTTATAAGTTGCCCCAATTGGGCCCTAAATGTAAAAAAAGAAGTAATGTTTAAGTGCTAAATGGCATTAAATTTAGTTTTGATCTAGATTTTGATGATTAATTTAATCTAGGATTTTTTTCAAGTATGAAAATATTACGAAAATTAAAATAATTATGCATTCAAATTTATTTAAACTAGGTAAATTAATATTACAAAGTTGTAATTTCAAAAAATATAATGAGGCCTTATGACAAATTCCATTTCATTCAAAAATTTCTCCATTTCAACGGTCATTTTGAGGAGGAAATATTACACCAGGAATTCTACTGTAGTTTTGCTTCAGGACATCAATTCAATTAGGTCATGCGGCTTTTACAGGCATGCCCATTTTAGTAAAAAAATTAATATTAATATAATACATGGGTGGCCATGACAGGCTCTGATTAGAGTTCTGACAATCAGGTCCTGCCACTTTTACAGTCATGTCCACTTTAGTTAAAAAAATTAATTTAATACATGGGTGGCCATGATAGGCTCTGAGTAGAGTCCTGACAATCAGACATTGACACTTTTAGGGACGTGTCTACTTTAGTAAAAAAAAAGTAATTTAATACATGGGTGGTCATGACAGCTCTGATTAGAGTCCTGACACTCAGGTATTGACACATACAGGCATGCCCACTTTAGTAAAAAAATTAATTTAATACATGGGTGGCCATGACAGATTCTGATTAGAGTCCTGATATAAACTACATCAGGACTTCTGAAGCAATACTTTATTTCCATTTTACGATACACACACACACATAAACACACACACACTTCATAAAAATAAAAATAAAAAGAGGTATTTTTAATTTAATATGAAATATTTGAGTGGTATAAATGTAAAATGTAGATGTTAAATATGTAAATACATAAGAATCACATAATAAAACTCATAAATTATTCATACATACAAATCTCTCCATTTCAACCATTTGAATAATAAAAAATAAAACATATAAAATTCATAAATCATTCATCCAAACTCCATTTGGCTTCAGTAGAGGATTGTACTAGGGCTGTCAAAAAAGCTCGTTATTCGCGAACAGTTCGTGTTCGGTTCGTCAATGAGTTCGTGTTCGATTCGTTCGATAAGTAAACGAGACAAACATGAACAAATTTTTTTCGTTCGGTTAGTTAAACGAACCAAACACGAACATTGATGCGTTCGTTCGTGTTCGAATCGTTATTGTTTGAAATATAAAATAATATAAAATAATTATATATAAAAAATTTATTATATTTTAAAACATTAAATTTTATAAATTATAATATATAATAAAATAATAATAATAATATATTAATATACTATAGTAGTAATATACTAATATAGATATTGTATATTTATATAATATAAGTTATATAATTAATATATAAATGCATCTTTTTTTTTTTTTTTTGACAATCGAGTGAGGCCTGGGGCATGCCTCTATTGATGCTTACCTTACTTGTTTAAGAACAAGTATATTAGAAAGGAATGTTGTCAGATTTTGCCATAGAGGTAATGGGTCTAGCCGACTCCGACAAATACACCTCTTTAGGCTTTTACTTTCAACTTCTGATACTTGTGATTTGATCCAAGAGAGGGTTATCTTTTTAGTTGATCACATCTCAGAGCTACCTCAAGTTAACCCCAGAGAAGGGTCTGAGATGGATCCTGAAGATGAACTATCCGGGAATCTTTTTTATACTCCTAATGATCTCCTCATGGAGGACGACCTCCTTGGTGAGGAGTTACATGACTTCGATATGGAAACCGCTAAAAGTGATCACTCTTCATCAAAGGTCCGCTGGTGACAACCTCGTCGTTGATTTCGATGAGGCTGATCATCAAGAGCCTGCATAGTCTCGAGACTTCCTGGGATTGATCAAGGCGACCATACTAAGGACGAGACTATCACCCTTCTTCAAGGCCATAGTTTTCATGACTGCTCAAGTAGCAACTCTACAGGCTAACGAAGCAGGGTTCGATGTAGTCTTGCCTCCGAAGCAGGTAGATATATGTTTGGTGACGCTCGTCGTACCACTTGAGCCCATAAGGCATGTTCATGCCACCTCTTCTTATGTTGCTCAGCATGAGCATGTACCTTTTAACTAAAATTTGAAGTTCAAAGTGGATGCAAAAGGTCAATACTGCTTTGGTAACTCAACAAGAAAAGGTCCTAGTGAGGTGAGGTCGATCATATCCAGAGGCTTATGAGTGCATACCATATCCTCTGGGATTCGTCACTCAACAATTCAAAAAGTTTAATAGGGTTGGAAACGCCTGACAGCTTATTGTCTAGTTTCATGCATTCTGTTGTAACATCAATAACAACGATGCTTTGCTCCTTCGCCTTTTTGTTACTAGTTTGCCTGGATTTTTTTTTGAATGATATGCTAATTTATCAAATGACAACTTCAAAACGTTCATCAAACTAGAGGACATGTTCATGAAATGCTTTACCGACGCTCAATAGCAGGTCACCATGAATGACCTAATGCTTGCCCAAAAAAAGCTCAACGAGCACTTAGTGGACTTTGTAATTTGTTGGCATCAATTTTTGGATATCATAGGTGTAGGGTGTCCACTTGTGATCGATGAAAATTAGTTATCGCATCATGCAAAAATTTGGCTCAAATTGACATGAGCACCAGCAAACTTGTTCAGATGGCTCCGAACGACAAAACGGACTGTGTGGTTGCGTCCGAAATGTCGATTTTACTTACGGGAGACTACTTCGCTGCGAAGACATGTCCGAACGAAAAAAGCGCAGAGGATAATAATATTATTATAATAAAAAAATAAAAGATATGTTTTCCTCCCTTATCTCTACTGCTCACGCATGACCCATGTGGAGATTCCCCCTCTCTCCTTTATTATATATATATATATATATTATCAAAAAGGAAGAGAGAGAAGGCACCTCGGAACCGAATCGCGAAAAAGGCCTCCTCCTCCAGATCGATTCACGAAGCCATACTCCTCCCGCTCCTCTCCTCCGTCGCCGGCGCTGGTCATCGATCCTTCTCCATCTCCGGCTTCTCCATTTCCCGTTCTTTTTCTCCTGCTTCTTCTTCTTCTTCTTCTTCTATTTCTTCTCCTATTTCTTCTTCCTCTTCTTCTTCTCAGGCTTCTATTTCTCCTATTTCTTCTTCCTCTTCTTCTTCTCCTATTTCTTATTCCTCTTCTTCTTCTCCCGCTTCTATTTCTTCTTCCTGCCAACCTCGACGGTCTTCCTTTGTCTCGCCGGCTTCTTCCTTGCCGGTGTTGTATTTTTTGCCGGACCAAAATAGTGAAGAAAGACTTCAATTTTTTTGGGGCTTTCTCCTGCGCCTCCTCCGGTTTCAGCATTCACCGCCGATAAATTAACATCCGTCACCTCGCCGAACAGCGAGCGTTGTCACTGTTCGAGGAGGCGCGTGTGTCTTTTACCTTGTGGGTTCCCCTCCTTCACCGTCTTCAAGCAATCCTCTCTCGCGAAGGTACCTTTTTTTGGTGTTGCATATTTTTGTATGCTAAATTATTTATTTTTGGTACTTCGCATATCTCACTGATCCATTCATCTTTTGCCCTTATTGGCTCTGTTTTTGTCCTATGCGTGTTTTACGAGGCACACTGGAGCATGGATCTGACGTCGGCGAGCTTGACGCAAGCAAAGAGAACGCGTCTGCAACCGTTACGGTGGTGAGATTCTCTAACTCCTAGTTGGCCCTAGATTTTAGCGGTGTCTAGGCGTGTGGGTTCGATCGCACACACGGGGTGCATGCGCCAGCATGGGTCGGCGCGACAACGTGCCTGCGTGATGGATCGTCGATTTCCTAGAGCTAGCCTTTAGGTTAGGACTTCCTGTGCGTAACCAAACACCCCCCGTAGAGCTGAGTGTCTCCCTTTTGTTGTGAGCCTTAGAACAAGTCCCGATGGGTCGGAGTCCCTCACTCCCCTTGCTTTGGTTTTTCCCAGCTTTACCTGGAGAAGCTAGGGGGTCGAACTTGGCAAAGCGAGAGAAGCTTCGTGGTCGGACTTGGCAAAGCGAGAGAAGCTTCGTAGCTGACTCGCTTTGCAAAGTCTGGAGGAGTTCGCAAAATGGGAAAAACTTTGTAGCTAGCACATTTTGAGACGGCGTGGAGAGTTTTCCCTTCGAAGATCCGGGGAGAAAACTCTTCACTTTCCCACACCAAAGCTGGAGGCGGCGATGCCGCATATCCAAGGGTCTAAACCTTAGGTTTCCCATGTGAGGTCGTTAGTACGAGCGTGACTCGCTATCATATGTGGTCATATGAACCTCGTTGTTTGCATGTGCATATCTTGCATGTTACATATTGTATGT